AAAATATTTAAATAATTTTACTAATATTCTAACATTTTAAATATCAATATATTTTCACTTTTAATTTTCTGAAGCAAATATATATATATATATATACCAGTTGAATATTAGCTACTAATTATATCTAAAGTGGGATCAATTTACACTAATGTGAATTTATGAATTACTTACATCAATTAATTTTGTATCAATGATTTATGTATGTTGTCTTCTTAAGAAAGCAATCACTATTGGTGTAACATATAAATTGTAAAAATTATCTGTACAACAGGAGTACGCCATATATTGATCTTCGAAAAAACCATTTTTCACAAACCAAAAAAATTGCTTCAAACATATTGTGTAACTCACCACTTTGAGTTTTATTTTAATGAATAGATTTTTCGATGGCCAAAATAATTAAGGTTGCCCCCAGATTTGACAGTTATTTTCCAAGATCCCCATCTTCACGTTGCATAATAGCAGCGCAAGACTTTTAAAACTTGTATTTTGGGGCAAAGATGTGATTGTCTTCACGTTGCACAACAGTACCACAAGAACCGTAAAAGCTATAGTATTATGGTGGGGCAAAAGATTTGTGAAAGGGAGAAATAAAATTAACCAACACTACTGCGTGCGTGATTCACAATCCAGAATGCTTGGCACTTACCAAAAAGACTTCCAAGTCTTTGAAAAATAACTCGACTCATCAAGATTTCAAAAAGCAAAAAGAAGATTTACTCGGAAATTCTTTCTTTAGAGTAATTTAGGGATAATCATCTTACCTACTTAATACTTATCCGTGGTTCTATACCTAAAAGTTTTTAAATTAAATAATAAATATAAATTATATTCAATCTATGTATGAAAATACTCACAATTAATAGAAATAGGTAGTGTACCCACGAGCGTGTGAATGAGTTGGCAGGAGACTCTTTCAGTTTAACAAGAGATCTTACTTTCAAGTCATGAGAATATAGTTTCGTTAAAACTCGTGAGAGAGAGTTTTACTGCTCAAATCCAGATTAATCAGTGATCTAGTGGGCTTTCTGCTCAAATCCAGATTAATCAGTGATCTAGTGGGCTTTCAGATACCGGGTGGTCATACAAAAAAAGAAGAAGGTAATATTAATTTACCACTGCTCATAATTTCTTTTTATTTTAACTGGAATTTTTATAATTTAACTAACATAAATGCCCAAAAAAAAGAAAGAAAAAAAAAAA